CTCTCTTGCTGTTTCAAGAAATTCCGAATGTCAGCCTTGTTCTTGATACCCCAGTACTTCTGGAATGACCCGCAAACCCACCTCACACTTCCATGGAAGATAATATTCCTCCTGCCGACAACGATTAAGAGGAATCAATAGACCGGCGCATCCATCACGATATGCGATAGGTAATCGGGCTTCGCTCATTTGTTCTCGGGTTGCGCCTGAACCGGGTGTTAGCTTCCATCTTTAACAAAGTATGATCTAGAGGGACAAGGAACCATACTTGTAGATGCAGTACCAGAAAGTCCAATGGCGGACTTTACAGCTTCAGTTACTGTCATGATTGCGTTTGGATATGTAGTGATGAGGATTTTCGATGCTTGGGTATTGAGGGGGGTTTGGAAGTAAGGTCAACAGAACTCGCGCTAATAATTTCAGCTTAGTAAGCCATCCATCCACCTTGATTTTGTTTCCCTTCAATTGATTCAAGAAGTTCTTCAATCATATCATTGAGGTTTCATCAAGCATGTATTCGTGATTTAATCTGTTTTCTTTCAGATCAATCTTCCCGAGAAGTCTCGGAAATCGACTTTTGAAAGGTTATGGATGATGAGGACTTGCTTCACATGTTATCCCCGTATAAAATTCACATCTGGCTCACAGATTCCCGGACTGTTTTCAATCTTCAAGCCTTTGGGTTGTGAAGTCTCTTCAAATAAAGAGTTACGACAGTAATTTATTCTTCGAATGGAGACATCACCATGGCAGAATGAAGTCATCTCCGTGTTTAAGAGTGTGCTATACCCTGAATCTTCATCAAGTGTTAGGGTACTCCCTCATCCTCACAATTTGTCTCAAGTGCTGGGTGGTTCCAAGTTCAACAGTCCGCATTTTTCATTGGAAGAACTAGTCGATCAAGTGTACCAAGTCGGTTCGGGAATCTCTCCCAACAATGCCCACCTTCCAAGTTCCCTCTTCTTATAAGCAACAGGGTCATGAAGACTATGCGTCCTAATATCACGCCAAAATCGATCCAGTCCAACATTCTTACTAGTCGCTCTTGCTCCAGTCATTTCAAATACTCCACTTGTCACCTTTAATCCAACGTCGGTAGCTACAACCTTGACAGCTGCAACAGCTTCTGCCAATTCACCACGATCTCGTGCAGAAACCGATCGTTCGTCTTGATGTTTCGCATATATGTCTGTCAACTTCTTACCCACAGAATCCGCTAAAGCTACAACTGCCGATAGATGTGCGTGGAATGTGCCATATCGCTCAAGAATGTACCACTCCTCTGTTGCACTGTCTTTGTTATCTCCACCGAAAGGCCACGCGCGCGTATAAGTTGTTGTGTACTTGGCTGCTGATTCGATAGCTCCAAGAGAGATTCCGATATAGAAGTTTGCGAAAACCAATTGAATGGTGGGAAGTAGTAGGGTTGCGAAAGGGACAGTAAGGATTTGAGGTAGTGGTTCCTTGGTTTGGGCATTCCAACCTAATGCATCTTCCCAAGGAACCCTAACATTTTCAATCTTGACGCTACCGGACTCGGTGAGTCTTAATCCAATGTTATTCCAATTGTGCTATTAAGATAGTAATGTCAGCTGCTAAAGAAAACTTTCATCGACATTCTCACTTACGGCAAATTGAATTCCAGGTTGTCTAGTCGGCACCGCAGCAAAGATATGCTTCCCAGTTCCCTCCAACACACCTTCAAGAATTGTTATGTCAGATACAACTCCACCAGTGTTGAAGTGCTTTTGTCCATTGAAAATAATGTGATCCCCATCTGATTTTATACTCAAATCTGAATCTCTTGGGTTAACAGCACCTGTTTGATAGTGTCAGTGTATTCCTTGAACTTTGATATGACTTCAATTACCTCCCATAAAATAATTATTTTCAATTATCTGCTTTTGTAATCGATCTTTCTGCTCATTTGTCCCCACAACATTTGCTGTTGTCGACCAAAGCAAGTGATATCCAAGTAGCATACCCAAAGATCCATCACCTTTAGCAACTTCTCTGATTACTTTGTATCCGATATCCCATGATTGACCACCGCCACCATATTCTTTTGGACCCAATACTTTTAACAGTCCTGACGACTTTAATAATGACACTTCATCGCGAGGAGATTTATTTTCAATATCTCTCTTTGCAGCGTCCTTTGAAAAGATTTGGGAAATCTCTGATGCTCGTGAAAGCCATTCTTCTTCATTTTGTGGTACGGCAGATTGAAATCTTTGATGATATTCTGAATAGAGATTAACTTCAGAACTTGATGTACTTGGGGCGGCCATTTTTGTCCAAAAAATGTATTTAAGAAATGGAGGGTTCACGAACAGATACAGCTGAAGAAGTGATTGAGGGGTGCGGGGTATTTCAATCAATCTTATTTTCAGCTCTTGAGTCAATTTTAGTTTAGCCTCTTTGAATGTTGTACATGTAATTACGCATACATAACTCGGATGTCGTGATTATCTTCCATAATGCAGATCACTGGATAGATAATCTGCATCCCACGTTATTTTTGGACGTGTTCGATTGATGGGGTCGATTTACCTCAGACACGGAAGCAATTTTCCCCACAAGTAGAAATGTTACGCCATGAAGCTATTGAGATGTCGTGATACTTGTGCAATATTTAAAATTAAGTAGTTACGAAAGATAAGAAACTAAGTTTTCGAGTTTCGATTTAAATCTTTATGCCCGTACAATAGTTTATACCAGTATTGTTTGCCCTGCATGAGTAGATGTACTCATTCTATAAGGCTCTCATTGCAAAATCTGCCAAGTTACACTTGTCATGCTAGTTCGGAAGCTCCCTTTTAGTACGTCTACAATTCTACCCTAAATGATAAAAGCACTACCGTTCAAAAGTCTAAATTATTCTGATGAAGATTGTCATGTCTCTTTTCCGTATCAGCACATCAATGAGCTGTGGATGACTACTCGCCGTGGTTGACTGCAGTGATACTTGGGCTCAAAACCATATCTTTAGCATAAGATTAAATGAGTACCTAAGTCCAAGACAACGGATATTTATTATACTTCCATTCCTGACTTGGTCTCGATGAGTCATTGTTGCAGAAATCGGTAATAGGCATTCGCACAATATAGGCATATAGTAGGGCGACTACCTGTCAGAATACATAGGTGTATCCGGGTCAACCTGGCAGATGCCCAAACTTGGCAGACGCAGACTATATCGTGAGTATGCTAAGCAGGGTCACACAAGATTGTAGAGTGTAGACTTTTGCACGGTGAAACCGACAGCCATCGCTACACTATGAATTCCTGACCACAAATGATTACTTTTCTCTGAAGTTGCGAAGTTGCGAGCAAAGAATTTTGCTCTCAAGGATGGGAATTAGGCACTTCGAAGCAGATGTGGACTTGAGAATATCACACACCACGTAGAGAACGGTGCGTGTTGGCTCTACGATTGCGGAAGAGTCTTTCACCAGCTCGCTGTTTTGACAAGCGATGCACCTCATCCGAGCTCCGGTGATCTTTGATCAGGTATCTACTGGAGTTTGCCTCGGATGAAGGATCTGACACGAGCTCCCCAACTACTTTTCAAAAAACTCTTTCCTAGTTTCCCTTTCAACCTTTCACACTCTCTTTTGTCCTCTCATGAGTGCACCATATTCGATACACATGGCGAGGACACTCACTTATGTTCTCATTCAGAATTGTGTTAGCAATTTCAGCAATCTTAAGCCTGTTACGCCCCGGGGCTTCCTAAAGGATGAGATCGATATCTCTCCACCCTAAGGGATCTCCTCAATATGGAATTTCATCTGCTATAAACCTTGCCTATTAGTTCCCACCTCGAAGTATTTGGTTCGCCAATCAAATTCATCTCATTGGAATGAGGTTCGAGATTTCTTGTCAGTTCCCGTATTTGCTCGGACGATCACGACGACTATTCTTTCTGCTTTATCTTGCTTCGACTGCCCCCAGACAAACTGATTTTAAGTCTCCCAATATTCTGATAATCAAGGGGTTAATATGGATATTCCATGCGTGTTGAAATTGTGTCATGAACTTTACTCTATGGATAGAATAAGCCTATTGAGGTGATGTGGAAAGAGTTGTTGAGAAGGAGATTACTTAAGCGTAACCGAAATACATTTCAGACCAAGAGACGGTGCGTTATCGCTGGGAATAACGTGGGCTAGGTAGGATGTCTCAACGATCAGCTTCCCATCGCGATGAAATTGGTAGCAATCCAAGGGTTGATCCGACCTGGTGCCGCGTCCTGGGAGTACTACAATGTATGCATTTGATCATCCATGATGTGACGTAAACCCGAGTTGTTCGATACACCCCAGGTTTGTTAGCTAAGTTCAGATTTCGGGTCAAGAAATTCTTTCTAGGATTCTTATTCCCCGAATATCCATAGCCATACCTTTTATACTTAGGGATATCATCCCATATCAAAGACGCTCTATCGTCATTTATGTTTAGGATAAATCGTCAAATCAATGTTCATATACCAAAAATTAGCTGGAAGTGGTCTTTTGTCATGACTATAGCTTCAATTCATGAGAAGAGTGAACGACGCTCGTGTTGAAAAAGTGATGGAAATCCTCCCAAGTCATCTCATTCCAAGATGGAATAAAATGAGCAACTAACAGATCAAACCACAAACTTGCAGTTTCCTTTCCTCATTTTGATTCCATAATCATTGCGATTCACACCTGAAATCCTGCAAGAAGTTCAAGTTCACCTATTTACTACTTAACTCAAGTCATCAAGCAGGAGGCTTCGCCGCCAAAGAATGCCTAGGCGTGTGCTACTGAAGCATATCACCCATGACACATCTCGGAGGATTTGCGATAAAGCCGACGTGGTATTTCCACACCAGTTATAACATACATATTAACCTATAGAATATCACTCGGGGCCCCACAAAATTTCATGCCTTTGTTTCAACTCATCATCCAATAGCTATGGGCGGGGAGAAAACAACATCCTTCCTCGCATTGTCTAAGCCACATTCACATCAGCACAGCGGTTAAGAAATGATAAGAGATGACTATACTATCGAGCATTCCTCTTTCATGATTATCTACATCGATTTTAAGACGGAATTATTCATTTTCGTATATCCCAAAATATAGAACAAAATGAAGGCGTCAGAGCGAGCAATATGCAAAGTTCGATTACCAGTCTATGAAAAGAATTGCGAAGAGCTCGATCCCAGCCGTCAATCCAACTTGAAGTTAAAGTGGGCACATTCGATACACAAGCTATTCTTCGCGGATGAACAGACTAGCGGTCGTAATAATGTTCGTAATTTTGATTTCCAATTAAATACCGACGGGTCTGTGGAGAATCGTTTTCAGGATCAACCAGCTTCATTGATGACAGCGACGCAGTATCCAACACGCTACCAGCTCCCGGAAGATATTTCAAACAGACTTAATACCGCCGAAGAAAAAGTCGCGCGTGCAGAACTCTTCGCATTGGGCAGTATTTTATACGAAATCATGTTGGGTCACCAGCTTCTCCATGAAATTGATGAAGGTCTAGATAACGGGAGGGAAATTCAGAGACTCATTGCTATAGGAAGCTTTCCGGAAGATCTTTGGAATTTACCAATGACTCCAAAGATTCTAGGATGCTTGTGTCCAGGATTCATAGAAGAAATGTTAAGTCTACGCAAGAAAGGTTCGTTGCTCGTTTTTATTCGTGTCTAATGCCTACACAGTATTGTACTCGCTCCTCTTTGATCTCTTAGACAACCTTTGTGTCCATTTCATACGATATATTTGGCTAACTTTTATTTTTGTTATCTCCCAAGTAGGAATCGGAAGCTATGTTAAAAACCATCCTTACCGATTTGGGTTCCAAGTTTTAGGTGGGGCTGTTACCATTGCCTCCGTCGCCGTAGTACCTGTCCTTGGAGCAATTGGATTTTCAGCTGCAGGCCCTGTTGCTGGCACCACAGCAGCAGCCTGGCAATCTGGTATAGGCCTTGTCGAAGCAGGTAGTATTTTTGCGTGGTGTGAAGGTGCCGCCATGGGAGGTGCTGCTGTAGGTGGAATCATTGGTGCTGGTGTGGGTGGAGCTGGAGTTTTGGCTGGAGCTACTAGCTTAGGTGCACTAGATGGGGGAGATTCCGATAACTCTGAGTTGAAGAAGAGGTTTCTGGCAGCTTGGAATCGTGATATGACAGCAGAGCAGAAGAAGAGGCGTGTAGGATCGCTCTAGTGTGAGACAAACGAGGGTGACGGGAGTCAAAGTTAAGCTTGAACTGAGGATAAAGACGTTTTTGGTGGGACTGTATCAAGAGAATAGTTAGGGTCCCAGATTTATATGTCTTGTATCTCCAACAGCACAACTTGCTGCACTGTTCCATTTCAAATTGTTCAGTTTACTACGACGTTTGATAATCGAATTTATGTAGTGCAGAGGCTCATCTTCTCTCCCTATTAAAGTCTATTCCGTAATAATTGAATGGCCCGAAGCCTTGGACTAGATATGAAAGGTTAATTCGATAATCATTCATCATCATTTAAAGGAACTCTTTACACGCAAGGATCGTCACTCTCTCATGTAAGCCTCTACAGTCCCGACTGTCATCTGTGTACTATTAAATCTTTGTGTCGTTCTATATTTCCGGATTTGCAATTACTATAACCAGGGATCTTCGAGATCCCCCCATACTGATAGCCTGTTGCCCAGATGTTGTGTCAAAATCCCATTTCATCATTTCCTTCACCGTCAGCATTGCTCTTACATTGCATCTTGTCACCATCAGAATTGGCAGGACGTATTTCCGAACGTTGTTAATGGGAATTAGAAAGACATCTAATCAGTTTGACAATCAGGTCCTCTTCAACTTCGATAATAAATTCACTTTCAGAGGAGTTGACAATTCAAAGCTCTTCGTCGTTCAACTGCAGTCCAGACTACTGAGAACCGTCGAAGTAGCACGTCACAAGCTTCTCGACCAAAAGACAAGACCTAGGTATCATTTATCGAAGTACTTTATCTCGAATCTATATATCGGCTCATTGCAGTGCATTCGTGGCCAAGCATGATCTGGGTCTTCCAAGTCTTCACGTACTCAAGAGTCGATGCGATCACATCAGGATTATCTATAAAAGGGACATAAGCTGTTCGTGGAGATACCTGAGAATTAAAGATACCTACCATATGTCAACTGTACTTATCAATGTCATTGGAAGACATTTCTAAACGGAGACAATCTGCAAATTCAGAAAGTCGAACCTGTATCAAAGGCAACCAAGACACATCCTCAAATTATCGCAATGGAGAAACACTGTCATGCCATTTGTGGATCTATAGCTGATTGAAATATATTTGCTATTGGTCCTTCAGCCCCGGCTTTCATGATTCATACCAAATTCGCGATGAGTGCTACTCCCGACTATCTCACACCTGATGACAGTGGTACACCACTAAGGAATTATCCCATCAAAAGCCATTATCCTACATTTCTGAGACTTTGAAATAGTTAGAATTGGTGCCTAATTTCATTTCTGACCTTTTTATCCAATCTAGTCCATCTCAATTCTGCGGTAATTCGAGTTTGAGATCTCCCATATAAACTGGAATTGGAATTACCGTAAGCAAAATTGATTATATCAACATCTAAGTACCTGCATATCACTAAAGTTGAGATCCTCCATCTATTCCTGGCTCTAACTTGATGCGCTAATCCTTTCTTCGTGCGGTAATTAGAACATTTGGTTTCTCATACAAATTAAGCTAAGAGAACTCGACCTGGATTACCGCATTCATTGGACACTTTGGTGTCATACAAATAACTAAAGAGGACTAATATTGGTGGCTTCTACTTCACCTAGGCTTTTGATTCATGCCATAATCCTTTCTTGTTTCTATACCAAGGAGTAAGTCATGATTTTTAGGCCCTTATTTACGAAACTGAAATTATCCCAGCAGGTAATGATTACCAGACCAATGGAGGGCCATAGAATAGCTGAATTATATACTCTCCATCACACCTTGGTCTTTGTTCAAAGCGATAATGTATATCCTGAGCGGTAATCGAGGATTTTGATTCCGTATACAAATTCCTCATACAAATACAGACTTTGGATTATCTCCACAAGAAATGATTAGCGCATCATCTAAGGACTTGGGAATGATTGAAACAAGTATCATCTATCATAATTCAGCGTTATTTTTATGCAGCAGTCTATTTTCCATGCGGTAATTGAAAGTCAACTTTGGCCTATGTCAACATTTCATCAATTACCGACGACCAGGAACATTATTTCATCAATAAAATATGTAGAGAAGATTGGTCTTGATCCTCTATTTGATATCCAGGTCTTGATTAGATAAAATAGTACTTTCCTCGCGCGGAAATTACAAGTTAACTTTGGCCCATCAGCCTTTCATCAATTACCGTCAGACACAAGCACTTTTACATCAACCCTGGTGAACTAGATACCTGGAGATCATCAAAATTAGTACCTTCTATCTAATACATGTATTTTTGTAATGCGCTAATGCTTTCCCCAGGCGGTAATCACGAATCAAGTTTTAGCCTGCAGAAACCTTTCATCAATTACCGTCAGCCATAAGGATTAGCGCACCAAGTAAGTACTTATAAACGATTCTAGAAGCCATCTTTCAAATCATGTCACCATTTTTCTCGCGTTTGATGGTCCACACAATGCGGTAATTGGAAGTCAAATATTGCCTACCCTACATTTCAATATCCATACCGAGCTAGAACCAGATAGCCGTATTGGACAAGTTAGATACTCCCTGTATAACTTCAGTTTTACTATGAGAATCTAATCCATTGATTGGACAGAAGTCAAAGCGCAGACATACGTTCCTCACGACTTTTGTCAGAGAGTGTTCATGAAACCTACACCCCTTCAGATCATAGAATTACCGAACTGGAAATTCGTTATCCTCAAACAAAACCACGTGGATATCACTAAGTTTAAGTCATTTCATCGACTCCATGTCCAAAGATTGCATTGTTTAATCATGGCATGTCGGTAATCCGGTCGCAAGTTTTGCATCTATGAGACCTTTCTTTGGCAGATTCAATGAGATGATAATATCTCTACAAATCTTCGAGGCATTGAAAGTACCAGAAATTGAATCTTAAGGACTAGTTTGACTAACTGAATATGAAAGCTTTATCATAAACTGCAAATCCAGACCGGTAATTTCACTTTCGGTCCATCTTTGATACCTGCATCACCTATCAACGCAACGTGATTCCCAACTGAAGAACGCCCCCTTTATGGCTGTCTACACTTCAAAATGCTCTGCAAGATATTGAACATTCTAAGGAAGAATTGAATTATATAGATATGTCCATTTTCAGACCGGTAATTTGCTCATGGTGAGACGCCCTACATGCCGTGAAAAATGCTCTATATCAAAATTACCGACTTAACAACGAATTAGCGCATCAAGAAAAGGGCTGTTTATCATTTGAGAATAGTTTCTCTATTGATTAAAAGTATCAAGAAAGAATTACCTGGTGTTGACGTTGCGGTAATTGCATTGTTCCAGAATGAGCTTGTATACACCTAAATCGTGCTAACTTGTTGAATCAAAATTACCGATTCGAGAACAACATATTATAAAGTTGCTCTACACTTAGAGAAGAGAAGTGATTATTCCGCATCGATTGGATCTATTTAGAAAGAATTACCTACTTCTTATACCATTGTACTCTGAGTGTTTATGTCGATGATCAGTCAAATACAGCCAAAGTTTCTTGGATCAGAATTACCGAGAATCCTAGGGATTAGCGCACAGTCTAAGTACTTTCATATTAATCGCCTATTATTTCTTCATCTATATCTGCTATTTTCAATCAATTAACTACCGGATGTGGTGCGGTAATTCGTGTCTTCATCTGTGGACGTTCAGAGATTCCAAATTTGAATCAACAACCACTCTTGTTACTAGCCAAGATATTGTTGATCTCCACATCAATGAAATGATAGTTTGAGAAGAGATTTAATAGCGAGTTTAATGATTTCAGGATCTTATTTTGATGTGCTGATGCTTATTGATAGAGGTAACGAACATTCTGTGTCGTTATTTTGAGTAGCTTGTATGTAGCTTGCTACTTCTGGATTACCGTCCGCCAATTTCGAGATAGAGTAGAAGAAAATTGAGAAACGATGAGGAATGAGTTCATAAGTGTATTCCGGGTCAAATCACGACGGAATAATGATTTGCCATCTCGGTAATCTTAATTTGATGGTCCGCAGAATTCTTGTTGTCAGCAAAGTCTTGGAATTATCCGCATAGATTGAATTAGAGTAGCAAGAAAGATTACCAGAGATCAAGGAGGATTGAATTAGTGTATTCAAAAGCATTTCGTGATCTAAAGATGCTTCTCCAGCTCGGTAATCTTGATTCTGTGTCGCTAGGCAGAATCTAATATGTCGAATTACCGCAAACCACAAGCATTAGCGCATATAGAGGGTACTTCTAAAAGATTAATAGAATATACAAGAATCAGATTTATGTCATGAGAACTTGTGATAATGCATTCCCTTGTCGGTAATCTCGATCCTGTGTCGTTGGGTTAAATTCCCTAAGATCAAATTACCGGATACCACAAAGTTCACTCTATGTTGAGAGGACTTTCAGTAGATAGAGAAAAGTCCCTTTTACTTGGTTTTTGTCATTAGAAACTGCGATAATGATTTCCCGTCCCGGTAATTTTGATTGAGTGCTACTAGGCAAATTTCGCAATTGGAATTACCGCATGCCACAAACCTTGGCACATATTCAGAGGACTTCCAAAAGATAGAGAAAAGTTTTTTATGTTAGATTTATGTCTTGAGGGATTGCGATAATGCTCCCATGTTTCGGTAATTTGGATTGTATGCTGATTTGAGCCTTGAAATCAGGTAATTTGTGACTAGCCCACAGCACATATCTTACCACCCCTCAGGAGTACCAGAAATAGATTTAAGATACTAATAGTAATGGATTTTTAGTTATGCGAACTTGCGATAATGATTTACCGTCCCGGTAATCGCCAAGTTGTCTCCTAGGCCAAATTTGAGAGGTTGAATTACCGCATGCCATACACATTATGGGATCGTCTAAATACCACCAAACGATTTGGAATCATTAACATAATGATATCCAAGTCATCCGAACATGCTCTAATCTATGTGACGTGCGGTAATCGCAAGTGTTGGTCGATTTTTGAGTGAATTTGGACGTATGCCAATTCATTTCATGTCCCACACATTTTTGCAACATCATTATACCAGAAAACCATTTATGTCACTTTAAGTATCTTCTGACAATTAATTTTGAGGTCTCCTAATGCCTCTGGCATGCGGTAATCGAAAGTTCCTCTCTCAGGCCAAATTGAATAATATCATTACCGCATGCAACATGAATTATCGCACAATGAGACTTACCTAGGATGATTCAGGACACCTACTTCAGTCATTTTTATGTCTTTTTGACTTGTAATAATGTATATGCTTTGTGATGATCACGAAAGTTAGTTTCTTGCCTGGTATGGATGAACGGAGTTATATCATGCTGAGAACATATTCATGGCAAGCATGATAGATACAAAGGTTTTGACACATAACAAACGATCATTCTAGGATCATTTGGGAGTACAGGAATATTGATGTAAGCTGATGACATGTTTTCATTTGGCTGATGAATCAAGACGGACCAAACCTAGGTACCGCAAGTTGCCGCGCTTACTGAAATTGCGAAGCGACGATGGTTTGACTCAAGATCTTTGGGTGAATGCTCTTTATATTAACCAGAAGGATTTAGAGGAGAGGTCGTGGCAAGTACAAATGATGGGGAGAGTCTATGCTGCAGCATCTCGAGTCATAGTCTGGCTGGGAGAACCATCGCTGAACTTTTATCCTGCGAAAGTTGGACGATTGCTAAAAGTATTCGACGAAGAAAAGAATAGTGTGATTGATAGTGTGATTAATGACTGCACTACGGAATCTCCGGATGTAGAATACCTCTCTCAAGAGGAGCTGAATAACACAGTCCCAAGATATAACGGAGTCCGGGTCTTCTTTGAAAACGTATGGTTCAGTCGCATCTGGGTATTGCAGGAAGTTTTCAATGCTCGTAGAATTTTGGTGCGGTGTGGAGATCGAGCATTTTCTTGGTCTTTAGTTCTTTAGTTCTAAAAATCGATGAAAATGTGCGACGCACCCTTTCAGAACCAGCGCCACAGTATCGCATAGCAATGTCGCCGCTTTTCTCCGGTCTATTCGCACTAACAAAGCCTACTCAAGTCTTAAACGACGATATATGCAGTGATATATCTACGCGTTTTGGATATACCCCACGAGCTCCCACCGAAAATATTCTCGATCTTGTGGTAGCAGGATTCAGTTTAGAAGCTACGGATCCTTGGGATAAACTATTTGCACTGCTTGGTTTTATAGAACCAAAGTACCATCATCTCGATGTCCTTCGACCGAATTACGAGAAAGATGTGGCGATCGTATATCGCGACTTCACACGCTGATGGATTGCTTCCCATCGCTCACTTCATATACTTTCTGCAATCCATTGCTCGAAAGGTAGAACGTGGCAGAAGCTATCTTCATATGCGCCTAGCTTCCGTGGCTTCAAGCGTACCAGTTGGAGTTTGTGGTACGATGGAATGAGTGCATGGAGTCGAGCCATTTTTGGCCTTTCACCATCTGTGAAAGGCCTCGGAGCATCGGGTAACATGGAATTAGATACCTCGTTATTATTGAAAAGCAATGACAGTTCTCTTTTGTTAAAATGTATTATGCTCGGTATTATCCATGATATCCAACCCTTTCCATATGAATAGCCGCATTATATGACCAGTGTTCATCCGCTCCATCAACCGCACACCGCGAACACTACGAACGGGTATTTGATCCTTTAAATCAACGAGCAACCTTCTCTTCAAGTTCTCAGGGTGGGTTGGAGGTACCATTTGAATCTCGGGCATCTCCAGCTGATTTGGTGTATGATCATATATCTGCTCATGAGTCGTATGCTCGGCAAAACCGAGGAGCTCTAGAGTGTCACCCACGGTGCTTTTTCACGACTGTAGATGATAAATCTGGGCTAGGTTCAAATGCAGCGAAGGAGGGGGACCGTGTGGTTGTGTTGTTTGGAGGAACGATACCTTATGATGTACGGTTCGTTCAAGATTTCGAGGCTCTAAATGTATTAGAATATGGTGTTAGCGAGGTTAGTACGAGTAATGCTCGTAGAAGACGGGTAGAGTTTGTTGGGGAGTGTTTCGTTGATGGCTATATGAATGGGGAAGCGATACAGGAAAAGCAAGATGAGGTTGTGGAGTTTGAGTTGGTGTAATTCTGGATCATTTGGCTATTCTAGAGGTAATGATTGCAAGAAAGTCTATGTCTATATATCCTAATGCGTTCACTAATGTAGCTCGTGAATGACTCGAGCCAAGATGCACCTACTCGTTTTCGCCCACGATCGTAGTCGTTATATTGTCTCGGTTAAGGCCAGTATCCAATAGTCTAAACTGCAGTCCAGCAATACAAAGATTCAAATGTCTAAAAGCAGTTAGAAATGTGAGAATGGCTCAATGTTCCAATCAATTTCGATATCTCAGATGATTTGAATATTCCAATTGGTTTGGGAGTTTTAATAACCTTCATTGTTGGATTGCAGTCAGGACTCTTGGATACCCTGGTTGAGGTGATGAAATCGATTCGCTCTTCTGAATATGTACCTGCTAATTACTACTTCCTCCGATCCTAGAGCAATCGGTTGAAGCTGGTAATTAAAGTCAAACTTTACCCGTCTCGGGTTTGATTGAGCCTCCATTCGAAAATCTATCCAAAGACTAATTCAAACGACTTCCTTTAGCTCATGATGATGATGACAACTTCAGCCAGTAATGCGCTGTTGGCCGCGGACCAAACACCCACCAAGATCGATAACGACCGGCCAATCAAAAGTGAGGATATCTTAACTTCAACATATAGAGATAATGCCAATGAATAGTCATTCGTGAGCGAAGATCATGTACCGTCAATTGCGTTTCTGTTTAAAATGAATCGTAATGCTAGTTCAGATATAATCACCGTTTCTCAGGAAGAGCATTATTAACTCTTTGAGTCTATTCGAAACTATTCTGCAATGTGAGAAGCTATCAAACAAGTTGAGCAGCTCACACTTTGAAGATCTTTGATTGACCTGTATCACTCATTTCAAAGGGGAAAGTACTAGACCAATCAAAAACTAAGAGTTTTTCGACTTTGAGTGAATTGATACAACATTCAGAGATTGGGAAGTGTGAAGGCAGACTTCAGATATATTGTAAAGCAATTGTTTTTGTAGAGAAGCAATTGCGATTCCTCGGACTTAGTGGTCTCAAGCTATTGTCGGGTTAAAAGTTATTGTTATTGGTGGAATCTTAATTCCATTTCAGTGTCATCATTGTGATGCATGACTGACGTGTCACTTGGCTGACCTACGTCGTGTGGCTCATTTATAAGTCCCATGCATACATGCATGCATCATTGATTCGATTGAAGAACAGCTTTGCAGCTCAAGTCAGTGCTTTTAAAGTGTCTTTGGCCAAAAGGGTCGGAAATCGTTCTCAGGAAAGCTCCTTACCTGCCCTTGTCGGGACACGATTGGAGAGCCGTTCTTCTCGACTCATAGTGAGATTACGGTATTACCAGAGAAGGGAAGCTGGAAGAAGTCAAATAGTAAACTATACTAAGAGATAATAGAGGCCGTATTCCGGCCCCCGCAGAAGGTTCTGACAGTATTAGAGAAACCATAACTTCTTTTGCAGAATGGTGAATGCTATGTATAAGATTATGTATGAATCCACTAGAGTCACACCTTTCATGTTTATCCCTAACAGCGTTGATTAACAGGTTTTGCTGACATAAGCCACAATATCGACAAGCGCAATCAGCAGAAGCATTTACGGTGGAAGAACAAGGGGGCCAACCTCTCTCGCCTGTTCTGTCAGCCCTGGAGAGCCTTAATATACCCCTTACGACAAATGCCAGAACTGTTAAGTGAAAGGAAATCAACTACTTGGAATCTATCACGAAATGACACAATCGCGATGCAATCGCTCATATACACATTCAACTATGTATACAATCACACATATAAGTGGTAAGTAAAATATTAAAGAGTCGGCGCTTAAGCCCCTGATCCTCGCTACGCTCAAGTTTTATTATTTCGTAAGTACATCCTTCCCTCACCGCCAAGTCATCCAAGGAATTGAGATTATACTCTTTGCCTCTACGAAATTCATTTGGGATACTGATTGAAGTATATTACTCTACTTTACTGTAAAACTAATTATACATAGAACAGTTATGTATACAAAATTCTACCAAGGAAAATTAAATGATCCGAAGTAAGAGCTAGAATCAATTTTAGTTTCATAATAGGCTTTAGACTGAGATAATAAATTCCAGAGGCCGAAAGAAGAAAGTGTCACATAACCTCTACCAAATGAAGTGTATCTATTCACATACCCATTCGATCATCCAACGCATACAATTCTATGATTGATAAGCTTCAGTTCTGGGAAGATACAGCCGGAATTGAATTTCCTAATTGAACTCCACGAGGGGCCAGCTCAACTCCATCTTCAAGCTCAGGTTCTTCCTTCTCTGGATTCTTCACGCCCCATACCCAAAGCAAGAATGTCACAGCAGAAAGACACCCAAGTAGAAGACCTACTGCACCAATTCTATCTGAATCTGGCAGGGAATTTATGATAACTGGTCCAATCGTAATGCCGAAGTAGTGAGCAGCATTCTGAACACCAAAAGAGCGGGCCACAACGAGTTTCCAATCATACCTACCGCCAGATTTGCTTTCCATGTCTTTCAATACGTCATCCATAAGTACGTAGCCCGCTGGCTCAGTCGAATCTAGAAATACACCGATGCCGGTCAATAATGCACATAATAGTACTTTTGTTCCTATCGAATTTGATTTCACGAGCCGAAGGCAAACTGTGATCGGTACCAATGCCAAGAAGCTCACGATTCCTACTATTCGGGCTCCATACCTATCGGCCAGCCATCCTAATTATATCAGCTTAGGATATCCAAGGGGGTAGGTGGATGAATTACCGTAGATCGGCTCAAGTAATGCAGGTAGGGAAACTGGTAAGAATATTAATCCCTGCCCCAGCGAGTTCCAGTCAAACTGCTCCTGGACAAAGACTGGAAGAACCTGTGAAATGCCAGCTGTTTAATACATCTTCAGAAAACCAATATCATTGAAGACTTACTGTATCGATCGCCGAGATGAAGATGCCGCTCACAATCACTCCCCAGAGCCCTACTCGCATGGCAGGTTCGCGTAACAGATCTAATAACGAAAAGGACTTGATAGCCTGTGTGCTAGCTTGTGGTGTTGAATTCGTTTGAGATGACTGGGATGCCGGATTATCCTGAGGCTGTCGTTCAAGAGGTAGAATTAAAATAGGTACGGCCAGATTGAGAACCAAAAAGCCCCCAACAACCCCAAAAAGCCCATTCCAGTTCAAGAATTGATACACAACTCCTCCAAGCAGTGGACCGGTTAGAAATCCCAAGTTCATAGCCGCACCAGCATAACCCATGGATTGTCCAACACTATCTTCGGGTGAACAATCTAATATGATTGTGACACTCACTACCTGGATAATTGCAGACGAAATGCCCTGTACAATTCGCCCAACGACGAGAACACTTATTAATTTGGAAACAGCAATTATTACCATAGCGATACCAAGAAGTAAAATTCCAATTAGCAAAGTAAGACGCCGGCTATGCATGAACTTTATCACATAGCCGATCCCGGAGCTGAAAAGAAGAGTTGCCAACGCCTCAACAGTAAGCAGTATGCCAATCCAGCGACTCACTTGATATTGTCAATTGTGGCCTATTCATTCATTGCCAAGAGAGACATACCGTCTTTATTTGGGATCGAGAAACGGGTGACTAGCGCGGTAGGAAGTACTGGCAGTATCTGTCCACGTCTTCATTAGAAAGTCACTATATCGAGCTACATAGAAGACATACAAATCCATAAAGCATTGTATGCTAAGTCACTTTGTCAGTGTCAGCGTTGAATTGTGCGATGAGAATAATTCATCACATACCGTTAAGAGACAAATACATAGAGCTCCTATTATGATAGTTCTTGATGAATGCATATGCTTCGGTCTTCGTACTCTTGGAAGGGACGAGTCCCGCGGCGTGATTGAATCCATTGCGATGAAGAAAATTACAGTAATTACCTCGATGGGCTGTTCTCTAAGTTTGCCGGAAAGTGTCGGGACAGGGATCATGTGACCGTACTAGCACTGGCGCCAGTGCCTCGGCACTATAACCCCAACCCAATCTTCATAATAGTATTAATGATTTAAATAAGAGGACCCGTACGACTTCATTCCACCCGGAGGGTAACCCGTTCGTGTTTGTGTTTGTGCTTGTGTCAGGGCTCGGGCTCAAGATCACGCCCAGGGCTAGGGCTGGTGATGTACTTTTAGATCTTGAGGGTGGTTGAGAACCCTAACTATTATTCTAAGGATTTTTTTGGTGGTCAGCATTGGTGGTGACCACAACCCTAAAGGGGGTAATAACCCTCCCAAAAACTCTTCAATTAGTTATTATTCTTTTTAGTTTCAATTTTAGGGTTTTCGAAAATTTAAAAAAAGAAATAAATAAAGATTCAATTGAATTATATATATATAAAATTACTTTTTCGATATCTTTCAAATTGATAGTTTAGTATTGAATTGAAATAACCCTAAGTTTGATAAAGTTGAATAAAAACTATAGTAATTTTCGAAAGTAGAAGGAATAATAACCACCAAAATAAATCAATTTGGTTATTACTATAAATCTTATTTATAATAGGAAATTTATAAATATTTTATAATAAACTAGGGCTTATTTTCATTTATTTATTCAATTCTAAAAACAGATTTAAATTATCTCTTAAATTAATCGATTTATACTAATTTTATAAAAGATTGAATTTGTAAAAGCAAAAGAAATAATGATTAGTTAAAAAAAGATATAAAATAATTAAATTATATAATCAATTCTAATAATAAAAATAAAAATAAAAATAAGAATAAAAATTAAAATAATAATAATAAAATTGAAAAAAACTATATTTTAGAATCTTAATCTTGAGGGGACTTTTTGAGTGGTTTTAAATTTAAATAATATAAACTTTCAAATTTCGATTTAATATATATATATTATAATAAGGTTACCTAATTATTTAAATAGAACAATATAGAATTTTATTATATTGATATTTAAACAATTAATAGTTGCCAGCACTAATTAATATAATAATATAAATAGGATTGCTCTATATATAATATAACATAGCAAATTATACTATCAGATCACAATTCAAGGTTGTCCTATTGGTCTAATATAATATTAGCCAATAATAATACTCCGTATAATATTTGATTTATAGTATTTTATAATTAAATATAAAATATAAATTAATTCTTCGATATATTAATCTTCTATACCCTCCTCTCACCCAACCAATTAAATTAATATCTTTTTGCTTTTTTCATATTTTATTTTGAATATATATAATACTATAATAAAATTAGGATTAGGATTAGAATTCCTAACTATTATTCTAAGGATTTTTTTGGTGGTCAGCATTGGTGGTGATCACTACCCTAAGGGGGGTGGTGACCCTTCCAAAAACTCTTCAATTGGTTATTACTCTTCCTGGCTTCAATTTTAGGCTTTTTAAAAATCTGAAAAAAGGAATCAATAAAGATTCAATTGAACTATATATATATGAAATTACTTTTTCGATATCTCTTCAATTAATGGTTTAATACTGAATTGAAATAACCCTAAATTTGATGAGGTCGAACCCTAAGCTATAGTAATCTTCGAAAGTAGGGGGGAGTGGTGACTAGCAAAATGATTCAATTTGGTTATCATTATAAATCCAATTTATAATAAGAAATTTATAATTATTTTATAATAAACTAACTATTATTCTAACTATTATTCTAAGGATTTTTTTGGTGGTCAGCACCGGTGGTGACCACTACCCTAAGGGGGGTGGTGACCCTCCCAAAAACTCTCCAATTGGTCACCACCCTTCCTGGCTTCAATTTTAGGCTTTTTAAAAATCTGAAAAAAGGAATCGATAGAGATTCAATTGAACTATATATATATGAAATTACTTTTTCGATATCTCTTTAATTGATGGTTTAGTACTGAATTGAAATAACCCTAAATTTGATGAGGTCGAACCCTAAGCTATGGTAATTTTCGAAAACAGGGTAGTGGTGACCTGCGAAAAAGCATCAAAACTTACTAATTGGTCACCACTCCTCCTGGCTTCAATTTAGGGCTTTTCGAAAATCTGAAAAAAGAAATGAATAGAGATTCAATTGAATTATTCACATATGAAATTAGTTTTTTGATATTCTTCAAATTGATGGTTTTATATCGAATTGAAATAACCCTAAGTTTGATGAGGTTGTGGAAGCAGGGGGTAGTGGTGACCACCAAAATGAATCGATTTGGCCACCACCCTAAATCCAATTTAGAATAAGAAATTTATGTTTATTTTATAACAAACTAGGGCTTATTTTTATTTATTTATTCAATTCTGAAAACAGATTTAAATTATCTCTTGAATTGATCGATCTGTACTAATTTTATAAAAGGTTGAATTTGTAGGGGGAGTGGTGACCAGCCGGAAAGAGATGTGGGGTAGCTAAATTATATAATCAATTCTAATAATAAGAATAAGAATAAGAATAAGAATAAAAATAAGAATAAAAATCAGAATAATAATAATAAAATTGAAAAAAACTATGTTTCAGAATCTTGATCTTGAGGGGGCCTTTTGAGTGGTTTTAAATTTGAATAATATGAACTTTCAAATTTCGATTTGATATATATATATTATAATGAGGTTGCCTAATTGTTCAAATGGAACAATATGGAATTTTCATATTGATACCTAAACAGTTGATGGTTGCCAGCACCAATCAATGTGGTGGTATAAGTGGGGCTGCCCTGTATATAGTATGACGTAGCGAACCATACTATCAGGTCACAGTTCAGGGTTGTCCTATTGGTTTAATACAATATTAGCCAATAGTAATGCTCCGTATGATATTTGATTCATAGTGTTTTGTGATTGGATACAGGGTATTAGTTGCCTCTTCGACGCATTAGGCTTCAATACCCTCCTTTCGCCAAGCCAATTGAATCAATATCTTTTTGCTTTTTTTATATATTTTTTATTCTGAATATATGTAACCCGTACGGCTTATTCCCACCCGGAGGGTAACCCGTCTAACTATTATTCTAAGGATTTTTTTGGTGGTCAGCACCGGTGGTGACCACTACCCTAAGGGGGGTGGTGACCCTCCCAAAAAGTCACCATTTGGTCACCACTCCTCCACGCTCCAATTTTGGGCTTTTCGAAAATCTAAAAAAAGGGTTCGATAGAGATTCAATTGAATTATTCATATCTGATCTTACTTTTTCGATATTCCTTATATTGATCGATCTGTACAGTTAACCCTAAAGCTTAGGGTTGGAGAGGTCGAATGGAAGCTATGGTAATTTTCGAAAACAGGGTAGTGGTGACCCGCGAAATAAGGGAATTTGGTCACCACTTCAAATTCAATATATAATAGGAAATTGATAAATATTTTATAGAAAGCTAGGGTTTATTTTAATGAATTTATCGAATTCTGAAAACAGATTTTAATTATCTTTTAAATTGATCGATCTGTACTAATTCGAAAAAGGTTTCAATATATAGGTGGTGAGAGCGGTAGTGACCACCAAAAAGTGATGTGGGGTAACTGAATCACATGATCACAACGTCGATAATACTAAAATACTAATAAGAATACTACCTAATACTAATTTACTATTAATCTAAATACTAAGAAGAATAGTAATTAAAATACTAATTCGAAGAAAAATGTAAATACCAAAATACTAACAAGAATACCAATTAGAATACTAACTTAAATACTAACTTAAATACTAATAGAAATACTAATAGAAATACTAAGAAGAATACTAAGAAGAATACTAAGAAGAATACTAAAATACTAATTAGAATACTAATTTAAATACCCATCTGAATACTAATCTAAATTCTAAACACTAAAAAGAATACTAAAAAGAATACTAAAAAGAATACTAAAAAGAATACTAAAAAGAATACTAAAAAGAATACTAAAAAGAATACTAAAAAGAATACTAAAAAGAATACTAAGAAGAATACTAAAAAGAATACTAAAAAGAATATTAAAAAGAATATTAAAAAGAATACTAAAAAGAATACTAAAAAGAATACTAAAAAGAATACTAAAAAGAATACTAAAAAGAATACTAAAAAGAATACTAAAAAGAATACTAAAAAGAATATTAAAAAGAATATTAAAAAGAATACTAAAAAGAATACTAAAAAGAATACTAAAAAGAATACTAAAAAGAATACTAAAAAGAATACTAAAAAGAATACTAAAAAGAATACTAAAAAGAATACTAAAAAGAATACTAAAAAGAATACTAAAAAGAAAACTAAAAAGAAGATTAAAAAGAATACTAAAATACTAATTAGAATATTAATCTAAATACTCATCTAATATTAATTTACTATTAATCTAAATACTAATAAGAATAGTAATTAAAATCCTAATTCAAAGAAAAATCTAAATACTAAAATACAAATAAGGATATCAATTAGAATACTAATCTGAATACTAATCTGAATACTAATCTGAATACTAATCTGAATACTAATAAGAATATTCAATAAAAGACTAAAAAGAATACTAATTAGAATACTAATAAATACAATATTAAAAGACTATTATTTATAAGATTTTATATTATAAGATTATATATTATAAGATATATATACGAAAAGACCAATCCTGATAACCTTAATACCGGTGAGCTTATTCCCGGTGATCTCCCCATATAGGCCCCTTATAGGCTGAAAGTCCTAGTAAGTTCCCTTATAGGCTCTGTTATAGGCCTTTAAGCCTATATACGACTCCCGGTGATTGAAATCCGGTGAGCTTATTCCCGGTGAACTTATTCCCGGTGAGCTTAGATTCAATAGTTATAGGCTATATAAGCCTAAGTTATAGGTACTATATGCCTATACGACTCCCGGTGATTGAAATCCGGTGAGCTTATTCCCGGTGAACTTATTCCCGGTGAGCTTAGATTC